TATGTGTGTGTGTGTGTGGCCAGCTCAGCCCACCGGGGGCGGGGCTGGCTGGCATGTGGTGCTGGGAATTGAACCGCGGTCCCTGTGCTTTGCTAAGCTTGCTCTAAGTAGGTGCTTTAGACCACTGAGCCATCTCACCAGCCCGAGTCATTCTTGACTCTTTCGTCAATTGCCTGTTTTGTCCTTATCCTACCCATCGGATCACTTGAGCCCAGCTATGGCCTAGAGCCATGCTGCAAAGAGCCTTGGACCTGTCAAATCTCAGAGGCTGGTCTTGTCCCAGTGCCACCCATTTCCAGAGGAAGGGACTCAGAAAGCTTCTGATCATAGGTGCACAGAAAATAGTTACTAAAGGAATTCCTGAAAGAAAGACCTTTGCTGATCAAAATTTCCTAACAAGGAATTAAATTGAGAAGCAGAACCTCGTGTTGATCCTTGTGGGAATCTGGGGCTACAGACAGGAAAATGATCCATGGGATTCTTCAACATCATTCTGAAGTTGCATGTCCAGCTCTGTGCATCAAGTGTAAATATTTCTAACCTCCATTTTCTCCACCATCCTCCTTCTAAATTAGTTCAGTTCTTGATAAATACAAATGTATGCTGGATTAAGCTTGAAAGCCTTTTAAAGTTAGTAGTAGCTCATATATTCTTATACATGTGTTTATCACATGCTAGACATGGTGAAAATTCCTTTACATAAATCACTGATTGCTTCTAGTTCCCCATGTGGTAGGTCATATAATTATTTTCATTTTATATGTGAGAACATGGAAGCCATTCAAACAGTCTAAGTAACTTCTTCAAAGTCTAAATTAGTGACAATTCATTCAAGCCATCTGATTTCAGGTATACACACAACCACTCTGCTACTCTCAAACTTCAATGCAAACATATACACATGCCTCCATGTACACAGTCATCCTCTTATAAGGCTAAGTATCTCTGATGGATCCCATGATTAGCATAAAGAGATACCTTGATTAGGATAAAGAGATTTCATGCAAGGCAACCGAATAAGAAGCATTCCCACATTATTTCTAGCATGCCTTTATAGTCCCTAATTCTTAGTTTGAATCACACGTTACTTTTTAATGATGGGAGCCTTCTAAGACTCTCTCTTTAATAATTAAGAAGTTATTAGGCTGACTACTAGAACACCAGGGTATTAGGTTGTAATACCTGGAATCTGTCTTCCTATATAGCAAAGGCTTTGCTGATGTAGTAAAGACTTGAAATGAGGAAAAATGTTCTGGCTCATCAGGGAGGGGGACTCAGGTATTCTTCCAATGGGACATAGGAGATTGGATTCCACACAGAATGGAGGCTGACACAGGATGACCAGAGAGGCAGATGGACTGATTCAGCCTCCAGCCAAGGAGCTGACAGCCTCCTAGGCTGGAGAAAGCAACGAGTATGTTCTCCCTCAGAGCCTCTGCAGAGCCCTCATTTTGAGTCAGTAAAGCTGATTTCAGACTTTAGATCTATGGAACTATGGGAGAATAAATAAATGTCTGTGCTTTTTAACTGTCAAATCTGTGATGCTGGGTTATAGCAGACCCAGGAAGGTAATACACCAAGTTGTTATACTGTGCTGCTCTGAACCCAGGGTAGATGGGAAACATACCAAGTAGGGAACTGAGTTTCAGACAAGTAGTTGCCTTGTCCAGAGTCTCATAGCAAACAGGTGGTAGAGCTGAGATTCAAGTCTAGTTGTTAACTCTAGAGCTTCACACATCACTTTCTAGTCTGTAACACTCTGACATATGTGTCTCTTTCTGAAGAACCCAGAAAACTTTCATTCCTTTCCCAAGGAGCTGGGGTTGGAGCCAGGCTGGGTCTGCTGCCCCTTCTGGTCCTATCTTCTGGCCTGTGATGGCTTTAAATGCTGCAAGAGGTCTTGTCATGAGCTTCCTGCCACCTGGCTCATGCACTTCCAGCTTATCAGTCTGACCTTTGGTTTTCCATGGCAAATCCTTTTGTGGAGGAAGCTGCCGTCAGGTGGCCAAAGCACTGGCTTCATAGGACTGCATTGTCCTTATTTAGAATTGCTTTCGCTTAAACCAGCCCACTCTTGCAAAACATGTTTATTCTGGTTTCCTCTTCCCCACACCCCAGCTGCCTGGCCAGGCTGAGCCCAGAGCACAGCAGCTCCGGCTCTCAGATCTGAGCCAGGAAAGGCAAGGCGAGGAGAAAAACTGGAGGCTCTGAGCATGGGGTGGGAGGCCTGGTTGCCCTTCCCAGGCTGTGGGCAGAGGAGATGGAGCCCTCACTGGGCATTGGGTAGCCCCTGAGGAGACAGCAGCCATTCAAAACACACCCTTGCTAGGACCAATCTCAGCTTACCAAACACAAAGAACTCAGGGCAGAGCTTTGCTTATTGGAAACCAAACCACTTTAGATTATTAATACCAATGAAAGTTTTGATAATAAGGCAATTTGCCTTTACTCAATACTTGTTATAAACCAAGCTGAATGTTAAATCTCTTATATAATAATTTATTTCATTTCATTTTATTTTTCAGAGGTCCCTACTATACAAGTTCTATTAATCCTCCTTCATAAATAAGGAACAGGGACTTGGAGAGGTGCAGATCTTAAGCTGTGAAAGCTGAGGCAGAAGCAGGGAGGCAGGTCCTTCAAGGACTAGAGGGGTTCTCTTACATGACCCTCTTCTTACAGAACCTTGCTAGGAAAGCGAGGTTCTGGAGCAGAGTGACTGGCCCAAGGTCAACTCCTGGTAGGGTGAGTGTTCCAGCATTTCGGGACAGTGTTCTTTCTAACAGGTTGCCTGCATGTAAATTGTAATTTAGAAAAGAAGAAAAAAGAATCTGAGCTTGGCTATTTGCTCTAATTTGAAAGAGTCTGTTCATTTGCAATGGCAAGCAGAAAAAAAAAAAAAAAAAAAAAAAAAAAGGTATTTAGTACAAGGTCTACAGGGTCTCACTACACAGATCAGATTGGTAAGGATCCTTCCTGTTTACGCCGCGAGCTGTATCCCCAGCCTATTTAGCTAATACTAAGTCTGCAATGGGAACACCCACATGAAAAAAAAAAAAAAAAAAAAAAAAAGGATACCTGGGGTTTGGAGGCAGATTTAGTTACAGCAGCAGGTAGTGATCAGGATCACTTCCAGAATATCAGGGCCTGATCTCTGGTAGTCTAGGGCTTGTATGGAATAAGCAAGCAGGAAGTAGAGAGGCAGCATGGCTTGTCCCTGGGGGTTGGTTTGTACAATGTGCACCGTGGTGAGCAGCTATATACCCCCATGACAAGCCATTTCTAAGAGCTAGGAGTTACCAGAACTGGAACAGGAAGTATTACCTGGACAACTAAGACACTGAAGTATTCTAGCTGAGGTAGGGGACATTTTGACAACTTCACCCCTTTGAATCCCATTCTACCGATGTTACTGTCCTTCAGACTAATATATTTCTTCCATGGGATATTAGATATAAAGTTTCAGGGAGAAGAGGGAGAAACCCAACACTGCAGTCCTGTGAGCCTGCCAGAGTCCTCTGGACAGTGTTACACAGAGAGCATGTTGGGAAACCTTGCTGCAGTCATCGTGTGGACTTGTTCAGTTCTTCTGAGGAGTATCCCTGTTTCACAGATGCATAAAGTGCAGAAGTAATAGGCCTTTCTCAGAGGGAAGCAGCATGAGAACAGGTTGAGCCCTCTGCGTACTTCATGCCTCTGACTGGCTGTTGACAGTGCTCAAAATACTGCCAAGAAGCCTGGTCACTTCCAGACCAGAGAGCTCCTGTCTGGTCATCATGCTGTGTTTACTTTTTAGAGATGGAATATTTTGAAAATACTGACCTTGCTCCAAGGAAAGGGGCAGAGAAATAGAAGACTCTCAAGTGTGTTTTCTTCGTAGTAGGAGAGGGGGTGATTGTCAGGGAGGAAAGCCACCCAAACAGCAATCAATTACAAAAAAAAATTGTTTCAACATTTCAAGTCACTCTCTCAGAGATGCGCAGCATGATTTCTCTAGATAATCTTTTTAATACCTGTGTAACATACAGACTTGGTGGCCTTCCTGATGACTGGCCCTGCTTTGAGTTCAGAGGCAAATGTCAACATCTATATGGAGATTGGGCTCAGCAATTGAAAGAGGTGGGTGGTGATGGAGAGGCTCCTTGGAGGCTGCACAGAGCCTGTCCATGGCACGGCTGGTTGCCTTCCCCTATCCCTTGGCTTCTGCCTCTCCCTTGTCTTGATTATCCACTGTGCTTTCTGTCTCTGGTGGTTTTCTACAAGGTTGGTGGTTGGCTTTGCAAAAGGTGCTTATGACATCAGTCTGATGAAATGAAAGGGCCATGCTCTCAATCTTCACAACTCTCTCTCATTTTATTTATCTATTTATTTATTTATTTATTTATTTATTGCAGAACTAGGGATTAAACTCAAGCCCTTGTGCTTGCCAAGCAAGCGCATATTCTACTGAGCTATCTCCCCAACCCCTCTAATATTCTTTTTGTAACTACCTAATGGCAAACAATACAAGCAGCTTGTCTCCTCAGAGTAAGATGGGAATTTGTGGTCATTTTGCTGAAAGCAATCCTTAATTTTGTCATTTATATAATAGCCATGGTCATCCTTGCCTTTTCCTACTTCATGATGTGCTATCAAAGATCAAAGAAATACACCCACTATACACACTCTAAATTGCTAGGCCAGGTGATAAGTTATTGAGCAGACTAAATTTGAAGATTTCCTTTCCCTCTCATGGAAGAAGCCTTAAGTGGTGATGTTTTTCAGCTGTTGTTGCCAGCCAGCATCTCAGTTAAGTTTTTCAGACCAGAGCTGGCAGCGTGGGTGGGTGTGAGGGATAGAAAGGATCTCCCCTGGGTGAATCAAAGCTGATTTTCAAGCTTTAGAGATGCAGAAGCAAACCACTCTTTCTGAGGCCCTTCCCAGTCTGGGAAGTGGGACTTCAGTGCCTGCCTCACAGGGTTTTATTTTTATTTATTTATTTATTTATTTTTTTTAAATCTCGTAATGTATTTATTTTAAATTTTGGGGCATCAAGTTGTGGTTCCCTCTGAACAAATGAAAAACACTGGGTGTCCTGCCCCACCTTCCCACCCACCGGCCCAAAAGTCCCTGCAGAGAGGGCATTTCTGCTGCTCTGTGAAACCCAAAATAAATAGAAACAGCATCAAGTGTGAATGGCACGATGGCGTGGAGCAGGCCCGAAAACCCGTGAGGCAGAGGTTACTGTGTAGGGACAGTCTCAAGGTGTCATTTGAGTGAGGACATGCTGCCGTGGTGGAGCTGGAGTGGTGCCGCCTGCCTACAACTTGTCCAGGAAGTTGTCCAAGGCGGGGATGCCCTCCTTCAGGCCCTTGCGCTTGCGGGTCTCTGCCACCACCTGGCTTGGGCGGCTGCTGTTGTCAAAGGGGTCACCGGGCAGGATCTGCCAGTGGTCGAACACACACTGGGGGAAGGCCTGGCCACCCGTGTTGGACCGCAGGTCGGCAGTGAAGCCGAAGGACTCATTGACAGGCAAGTAAGCCTTCACCACGAACATGGGGGTGCCAGCCACCTGGGACTCCTCAAAGACATGGCCTCGCTTCCTGTTCAGGACACCATAGATGCCCCCAACCACTTGCTCCGGACACTGGATCTCCACAAGGTAGATGGGCTCCATGAGGCGCGGCTGTGCTGTCAGCACACTGGCATACAGGCAGCGCCGCACCGTAGGGATGATCTGACCACCCCCGCGGTGGATGGCTTCGGCATGCAGGGTGACGTCATGGACATCAAAGCGCACTCCACGCATATTTTCCTCACATAGCGCCCCCTCCTTGGTGGCCCACTGGAAGCCGGCCACCACACTATCCTTGATCTCATTGAGGTACTGCACGCCCTTGGTGATGTCAGTGAGGATGTTGGGGCCAGTACCGACAGGGCCAAAGCACCAGATCTTGCGGGCCTCTGCCACATCCCACTCATACTTTTCAGCCAGGTAGCGGGCACACTGCTTTAGCTCCTGGCGGGCAGACACCTCCCCCTTGTCGATGTCCTCAGCCAGGCCATCCGGAAAGGGTCGCGCCTTCATGTACAGGTGGTTGTGCTTGTTGGGGGACTTGGAGAGGCACATCATGTTCGACTCCTCGCTCACTGTCTCCCGGTACGAGACCACGGGGTCCAATTTCTTGATGGGTATGCAGGCGTGGTCCTCCTCCAGGTCCTTAAGGCAGATCTCCAGGTGAAGCTCGCCAGCGCCCGCGATGATGTGCTCTCCTGACTCCTTGATGATGCACTGCACCATGGGGTCGGACTTGGCCAGCCGCTTCAGCCCCTCCACCAGCTTGGGAAGGTCAGCTGGGTTCTTGGCCTCCACAGCCACTCTGACCACAGGGCTGACGCTGAACTTCATCACACGCATGTTGTGGGCATGCTCAAAAGTGGTGATGGTACCAGTCTTCACTAGGAACTGGTCCACACCCACCAGTCCCACGATGTTCCCACAAGGCACGTCCTCAATGGGCTCCACATAGCGGCCCATCATCAGGATGGTCCTCTGGATTGGCTTCAGGTAAAGGTCCTCCTTCTTCCCAGGGGTGTAGTTAGGGCCCATAATCCGGACTTTCAGGCCAGTGGACACCAGCCCTGAGAAGACGCGTCCAAAGGCATAGAAC